AATCACATTGCACCCCTGCCCCCCTGAATTGGCCATGACAGCCACCCTTAAACCAATTTTTATAAAATCTCCCCTCAATGGCCATGGAGGTAGAGTTTAAATTTTCTCTGAAAGAGCCCTCCAAATTGCTCACAGAGACTCTTTGAGACCTCCTCAGCTTAAGCCAACCACTTTCTTTCATTGATTCCCACTATGGAAGCTCAATTTTGAGCTCAAACTTCTACCTAAAACTCGGACAGAGCTCAATACACCTCCACAGTCCACCAAACTCAAATTAAACTTACCCACACCTTCATCACAGTGAAAGAAGGAGAAGCCCCATCAAATAGGGGTGTAAACGAGCTGAACACGAGAGAGCCAAGCTCAACTCGTGTTCTGCTCGTTTATATTTTAAGCTCAAAAAGTGTGTTTGTGTTTGGCTCGTTTGCTTAACAAGCCGAACACGAGCTGTTCACGAACAAAGAGTCCTTTGAACAACCCTAATCATGTAGCCATAAGACAATAAGGTTGAGCAAGATTTAAAAATTATTGTTTATATTAAAATATCATTTGAATCAAGTTTAAAAATTTTTATTCTATTTTCTTAATCAATATTTTAATTGATTATAACTTTTTGTAGCCTTGTAGTCAATTAGATTTTTTATAAAATACTACTTTATATATATATATATATATATATATATTTGGTAAGGAGCAAGCTCCAATTCATTAAAGAAAGAAAGAAAACCAAATACAAAAGGAATTGAAAAAGGAAAGAGGGCCTATAGAGAAGAAGACAACCTCTCAAAACAACAAAAAGGAGTTATCTGATATATGGGAGAGGTAGTAGATCACTGGACCAGTGGGGGAGGAATCCTTCTGCTCACCAAAGGTTATTCAGTATAGAGACCCCTTCTAGTCAACCAATTGGAGGGTCTATTCCGTTCTCTGTGGATATGGGAGAACTTGATAGAATAATACTTAAGCAACTGATGAATTCCAGAAATCCAGCTGATTAAATTCCATGGGGTATCATAAGAACCATTGATAATGTTAATAAGCATCGAGTCAGATTCAACCCATAGCTGGTTGAAATGGCAAGATCTGGCTAAGTTGATAGCCTAAAAGACAGCTTGACATTCTGCTTCAAGCTCTAAAATCATCTACTGGGATCTTCCAAGATCCAAACAAACCATAGCTTGGGGTTTGGTAGATAAACCTTCATCTAGTTCTGCAATTTAAATTTCCTTGCAATATTATGTACATTCCTTGCAAGAACTGACTTTTCAGGTGATGGAATGAGAAGACTCGCTAGGTACATTTTTACAGTTTACAGTACTGTCTTTTCTTGTACTTTCTGCACCGTGCTTTATACTTACGAAACTTGCATGTTAAACAATGATGTCACCCTGCATGAAAACTAAAACTGCTAGGATAGCCTCCAAGACCAAAACTAAAATCCACCAAGATAAAATTCACCGCCACAACATTTAAAATATAAAACAACTCAAAAATAAATCACAAACATCATACAAAATACAACTTCAACTAAATTAATATGTCTCTATTGGAAAATTACCATTCACAATAGACCAAACATCCTGTACCCAGGGGCAGGCAAAGAAGAGGTGGGTAATTTTTTCCTCATTGGACAGGCATAAAATGCATCTTGAGGGACCTCTCAGACCCTTCAATTTGAATATGTCATCAGTGGGAATCAATTTTAAGAAAAGTCTCCATATCAGAAATGACATGGAGGGAGTGAGAAATTTATTCCAGATTGTATGACCCCAATTCACCACCAGTTTAGGGAATTCACCACCAGTTGGGGGGGCTGAGAAGAGATTAAGTTCTTTTTTATAGCAATTCTGTACTTTACTCCACGTTTTACAGAAAGTTTCAAAATATTGGAGATTTGAGAAGCGTTGCAAAAGGAAGAATTGGAGTAAGATTTTCCCAAAGTTCCTTCACAAGCATTGGAGAGGCTAGAACATTTTGATCATGAAGAAGGCTACCTTCCAAAGACCAGTTATCCCACCAGATGTTTACCAAACCCTCACCAATCTCCCAGACATACATTTGTTCAGCTTCCTCCCTAATCTGTAACAACTTTTTCCAAATGGGGGAATCCCCCAAACCCACAGAGAGTTGGGTGGGGTGTTTAGGCAATATTTTCCCCATAGAAATTCAGCCCAAAGGGAGGACTGAGATCTGAATTTGAACCAGAGTTTGTAGAGATTAGTGTGCATAATTTGGCGGAAGGATTTGAAGCCTAACCCACCTTCCTCAAAGGGTTTACACACCTTAGCCCATTTGGTCTAGTGTTTTTGTTTCCTTTGACCAGCCCATAGAAATCTATTGAAGATCCCTTCTAATAATCTCTGAGAAGACTTTTTCAAGATGTTCATTTGTAGAACATAGGATGGAACAGTAGATAGAACACTTTTCAGAAGTGTTATCCTACCTCCATTGGATAGAAATGAATTCTCCCATGCTTGTAATTTGCTTTGAATCTTCTCTAAGATGTGATTAAATTGAATGTTTTTAGTTCTACCTTTGATAAGAATTTCCCCTAGATATTTCACAGGAAGATGCTTGTTTGTGAAGCTAGTGAAATCAGAAACCCAGGTCCTTAATTCACTTTTGCATCGTTTACTGAAAATGGAGATACACTTCTGCTTATTTAACTTCATACCAGAGGCATCCTGAAAGATCTCCAAGCATTGCATGAATAATCTAACAACAGTTTTGGAAGCTTTTGAAAAGATAATGATGTCATCAACAAAAGCCAAGTGATTGAGTATGGTGAAAGATCTGTGGCTATAAAGGGAGTGGAGTTTTCTGGATGCCAACTCATTCAAGCTTCTGGATAAGTAATCAAAAACTAAAATAAATATGGTAGGGGAAAGGGGGTCACCTTGTTTTATACCCCTAGAAGCACTGAAGAATCCATGAGAAGATCCATTGATGAAGATAGAATGGAAGTTATT